GGACAGATTCAGTGCTGGAAAATTCCTATGGGAAACACCTACAGTGCAGTTGGTTTGAACCCGAACGCAGGCCAGCCAAAGAGCTCCCATGTGTCATCTATCTACACGGTACTTCCACGTGCTCTCAGCTCAACTACATGAGAATTGCCTTAGGTAACTGCAGCTCGCGCCTCGAGGGAATCGCTACACTGCCGGTCCTCCTTCCATTCGGGATCACATTATTCGCGTTTGATTTCGCGGGCTCAGGGAGGTCCGATGGCGAATACGTCAGTCTGGGGTGAATAATGATAATTTTCTTCGTGGTGTATTATGGAATCAATTCTGTATCTAGGTACTTTGAAAAGGACGATCTAGCCTGCGTGGTGGAGCATCTGAGGGCCACGGGAACTGTTAGTAAGTCTTCTACTGGGTGCTAAGAAAGCCGGGCTCACGCCTCGAAATTCCTGAGCGCATGTGAATAGCAGACTATCGAGAAGTGCCATCTGCCAGCACTTTTTCCATATCGGCAGAACTTGTCGAATATGAAGAGTATAGAATTGATTCAACTACCGTTAGAGAGAGCTTCGAAATGGTGCTTGAGAATTTTCGAGGAGCGGGCCCGGCTTCTTGAACATCCTGCATATTCATGAAAATGTGAGAAATCTGATGCCTCAGGCACTATCGGGCTGTGGGGTCGTAGTATGGGTGCAGTGACTGCATTACTACACGGTGATAGAGATCCTAGTATTGCAGGAATGGTGGTACTAATACTCTTTCACTCAGAGGGAGGGGGGTCACCATGAAAAATGCCTTGAAATTTGGAGACTCTTGTTGTTCGTGGAGCTGTAGTGTGTATATCTACTCTAGAGTGTTGGAGGAATATATGTCCGCTTTCCTCAGCGGAGCTCCGAAGTTTCCTTAATAATTACATACGAATTCGGGTAGAAGTGTAGAGAAACAAAATGAGATTGTTGTTGTATGAAAATATAACTACTAATTATCTCACTTAGTTCTCATTATGAGAAAATACATATCGATCACATAGTTCGATAGCATTATGCCACGTATGCTACGCCATCTTGACGGGCTCACTTCATGCTAGTGTTCATCGTATTTGATACCTCCGTGATGCACTGCTGAAAGTGTGTAGAACCATAGTAGTCGCTTTCGAACTGTGATGTTAGGGAGTTTTCACGCGCCATAAATTTTCAACATCTTTTTTCGCTAAGTTTTGTTTCAGCATAGCACTCTCGGTCGAGCGTATTTGCCGTATGGAAAATTAATTTTCTTTGTTCAGTTTTCACGTGTTGGTTTTCCTCAGCTCGATTCGCCTTTCCAAGACCTGCGTATTGTAGCTGAAGAATTGGTGATTCAATTTGGTGGTTTCCGAGTACCGAAATTCATTGTAAACATTGCTATGAGCATGATACGCAATTCAATCAGAAGTAGAGCCAACTTTGATATCAACGACCTAGTACCTATCAAACATGTAACAACAATCCGCGCTTCGCTCCGCTGTCATTTTACCGTAGGTCGATCGGACTTTTATACCCGCCCTTTTCGCAGCTGCCGAAGACGACACGTTTATTAAACCGCACCACGCTCGAGCACTCTATGAAGCTTATGCAGGGGACAAGAATTTGGTAACTATGTGAGCGAGTGAATGAATATGAGTGTAGTTTTGTAGGTCACAGTTGAGGGAGATCACAATTCTGTGCGACCCAAATTCTTCACAGATTCTGTCGCGATATTTTTCTTCAACACTTTACAGTGTTCAGAACTTGTTGGGAGTTGGCGTAATTGTGTATAGTTCCCAACGACTCGAGATTCAACGCTCGTGTGTTCAGAGCCTCTACCATCAGTAACCCCACATATTCTAGAGCGCTCGCATTCACTACCGAATCCGATGCCTCGACGGCCTCGAGCATCGAGTAGTGAGGTAACTTCTACTCGTAGTACTAAGTCAACAACATCTGTGTATGTCTAGGACAGTCGGAGTGGTGACCGTCAGCCGCTCGGTCTGGACATGGTACGGCCAATCCAGGAGCCCCTCGATCATTATAGTGGGATATTCTCGACGTCCACGTGTGAGGTATGCGTAGGTTTACCCCAAATCAAGGATGAGGAGGAGATGATGATGCAACAAGCAATAGCG